AGAAGAGCTAAATCGTGGGCATGCCGCATGATCGCTCTGAGCTCTTAGAATTCTCTCTTCCCGTACAGCGTACAACTTCAAGAGGTGTTCTAAACGATTATTTTGCAGAGAGCCAGGTTAGAAAAACTGGCGAAAGCATATTCGTCTCCGAAATATAATTCGATACCGAACTGCAACAGTTCACGAGTTTAACGTCCTTGCAAAACAAGGAAGCGAAGATACGATTGGAAGCAATTATAAACTACGAGGTTAGTATCGCCGAGAGCTTATCTCTCTCTCTCTCTCCACCTGCAATTTTGAAAAGAAAGAAACTAAAAAGACAACGACGTACGACTCCAGACAGTGTCACGCGTGTATCACGCGTGTTTACTTTTGCGAGTATATAAGTTAGAGTATATAAGTATCGACGTGAGAAATGGCACTTAAGAACGAGCGAAAGAATGAAAATTTTTGGTAAAATAGCTGAGAAATCTCATAAAATTATTAAAGGTTTAAAAGGTAGAACAATTATATCTCTATTGCCGTCAATCGGAGAGCAGTTTGCCTGAGCCAAAGAGTGTGCTTCATTATGATTCAATAATCTTGTGTATGCTGCTTGAAATTGAATATAGTTAGAATTATTATTGTATCCTCCCATTGCCCTAATGCAAGAAAAAAATATTTCAAGATGATCCTGCGATAACTTATAGGTCAAAATATATTTTAAATAGCCTGTTTCTACGTATGCCTGGTACATCAATTTTAAACTTTCCATATTTATGATAAACCCAAGGAAACCGATCAAAGGGTCGTGCCGATCTGATATATTTGACCTTTGCTTATAGATAAAGAAAGACAATAAGTGCATTGTATCTTATATTTATCTTCTATGATCAGAGACAAACAACTAGATTTTTTGTCCTACTATAACTTTTACCTAACAGATATACAAAAGAGAATGATGACATACATTTTAAATTACACTTTTGCGAGGAATTACAGGATAAGTTAGAAAACAATTTTGAATTAGTAAAAATTGTTGGCAATAACGCCGAAATATTAATAGACAACGTATATGTTGACTTTATGAGCGCTAAAGCCGCTGTAAATACATACTTAAATTTTAATAATCGCGCCTACAAA